AACTGAGTAACGCCACTGATTTCCCCGGGCAACGCCGGGTATCCCGCTAGTATAATATATACCAATAGAATATTTATATAATACTTGTTTTATCAAATGCTCACATTTCTTACAGGCATCATATACAGAGACTTGAAACTGGACAATGTGCTATTGGATCAGGATGGACATATCAAACTCACAGACTACGGCATGTGCAAGGTTAGATTATACATTCACGTAGCTGCAAGCGGGGGTGGGGGGGGGGGTTGAACAAAGGTTGAACCAAGGGTGGATCTTTTAACTGCAAGTATTGATTCTGAGAACGGATGCTTTCCATAAAAGAGTATGGTAATTTTAACAGGAAGACTATTTCGAATTTGGTTCCCATGGTTACGGTCTCAGAGCACGGCGTTTTAAGAGCTTTTATGGTAAACAACTTATCATGTGAAGTAACTTGAGTTGGTGTTATATTAGTGAATATCAAATTAAGCTGTAATGGTTCTCACCCTGACTGGCATATCATCTTCGCAACCCAGCTCAAAAATGAAAACACCTTTGAGTGTTTTAGTATGCATTAAAGGATGGGGGAGAATATCTTGTCTTTTTATTCATCTACTACACACTTCTTTTACTTAATGAAGTGTTATAAGCTCAGTTAAGGTATAAGGTGCAGGAGTTTTCACACTTGTTTATGAACTTTTTATCGCGTCACCAACGGCACCTCTTCACTTCCCGTGGCTGCCCTAGCAGGTTTACCTACATCTCCTTCCCATAATTTCCGTGTAGTGTGTGTATCCACTTTTGTTGCAAATGGAATGTGTTTTTTTTAAATAGCCTTGATAATCTTTCTTCAAAGGGCAGGTATGCCTTTGTGCCCATTCACCTTCACGTTGTGCCCTAAAATTTCCGGTAGACTATACTACCCTATAGTACCCTATACTACCCTATAATACCATATACTATCCTATACTACTCCATACTACCATACCTATACTACTCCATACTACCATACTACTATACTATCCTATGCTATCCTGCCCTAAACAATTAATAATCCGAGCCTGACTTGTGTGTTATCAGGAGGGGCTGAAGCCGGGGGATACGACGGGAACGTTCTGTGGCACGCCAAACTACATCGCACCAGAGATCCTGCGTGGGGAAGACTACGGTGAGTATGTCAGATGCCTATCTGTGCGGCTGTCACTGTTATGATGTAACAATATCGGGAGTGTATAATATAGACTATATTATACACGCCTGATAATATGATGCAGCAGTAGGTCCTGCGTGGGGAAGACTATATGGTATGGGGAAGACTCACAGTTACGATGTAACAATATGATGCAGCAGTAGGTCGATAATTTAATATTGAAGTTATCCTATTACCATATTACTAATACTATGTATTACTCTGTTATTATCATATCATGAATATATATGACCATACCATGTAATATACACAATATACCATTGTCGTACCATGTACCATCTTAATATTTTTGTATTACCATTGTTTTTAGGCGTGATGGGACTAAATAGCCCCCCTACCTCGCCCACGTACATTTACAGGTGCCTGCACATACTTCATTCATGTTCGTTTCCTTCGCAACTAATCTTGATGTGCTATTGATGTTGCGCAGGGTTCAGTGTGGACTGGTGGGCGCTGGGCGTTCTAATGTTTGAGATGCTCGCTGGCCGATCTCCATTCGACATCGTTGGCAGCGCAGATAATCCGGATCAGAACACTGAGGATTATCTCTTCCAGGGTAAGTGAATATCCTTGCGATTAGCCCAGCTAGTGGGTTAGCATTCAGATAGTGGTGTCTACATCGTGTGTAGATCATACACATAAATAATTCTGTGCATGCAGGGATACACTCGTTAGTCCTGCAACTCTCCTCGAATTAGTAATACATAGAATCACTTCACATCATTTATTTCCACTTGAAAATAAAGATTGTGTTGAGTTTAAACACGACCACCCAAGAACATGTCAATTCCCAGAGTGTTTATCGTATGAAACATTTCTTGATCAAGCCATTTCACTATCATTGTCTGCAGTATAATATTTGTGGTATTTACACATACGCAGTATATGTACTAGTGTACGATTAAACACTGCAGTGCTGCTAAAATCTGTACTAGTTTCTGCTATTACAAACTAAAATAATTAATTTCATAATTAACATAATCGTATGTTTCGTCGCAGTCATCCTAGAGAAAACCATTCGTATTCCACGGTCGCTGTCGGTGAAGGCTCGCTCTGTCCTCCAAGGTTTTCTCAACAAGGTAAGCAAAGTCTCGTGAGCAGGACTTGAATCTCATCATGGCACCAGCAGCTGCAAACTCCACGACAGACGGCGCTCTCGCTCATGGGCTCAATCTACCACTGCCACAAGCAGATTTTGGTTACAATTTGTAACGCTTTTTTACTACAAGTTTTACAGCAGGCACGTTACTCGTATCCTATGTAATAAGATTTGGACTAATAAAAGTTGCAAATATATTAAAAATCCGACCGTTATTTCATGAAAAATTTGATAAAACAGTTATACGAAATAGTACGCGGATTGTGCACCCATTTACCTCTTTCAAATCATACGCTGTTTACGAATCTCCATTCGCTGAAATTCCCCCTGAGCTTTGCCCACTTTAAAAATAGTGCTAGCATTGTGGCAGTGGTATGCTGAGTATACGAAGGTGCACTGCATGCAGTTTGCAGCAACTGGTGCCATGATTGCACTCCTTATGTGTCACTGAAAATTGGACAATATCCATAGCAATAAACATAAACCTCTGTTAATAAGTCGTCTGCTTATTGGGAAATCTGTGAGCAAAGACTTTACAGTTAGGAGTTTTGCAAAGAGTGATGTGTAGTGGAATATTAATGACCTTTTGAACATCAAGGACTAAACCCTTGTATAGACGTGAGTAATCGATCTGGTAAAAATTGCAAGCGCAAACATCATAATGCTTACTTGATATTTTTAGGAGAATTTTTATTGGGTGGTGAACACATTTCACTTTAAAATAGCTAATTACTTGAATTTATCATGAAATCAAATTTACTGGTAATGTTATTATGATATTTGTTAAACGTATTTCAAGCCATCTTTGTTATTTTCTTACTCTACACAGAACCCGTCTGAAAGATTTAAAATAGCTAATTATTTGAATTTATCATGAAATCAAATTTACTGGTAATGTTATTATGATATTTGTTAAACGTATTTCAAGCCATCTTTGTTATTTTCTTACTCTACACAGAACCCGTCTGAAAGATTTAAAATAGCTAATTACTTGAATTTATCATGAAATCAAATTTACTGGTAATGTTATTATGATATTTGTTAAACGTATTTCAAGCCATCCTTGCTATTTTCTTACTCTACACAGAACCCGTCTGAAAGATTGGGATGTCTTCCAACGACTGGTTTCGCTGACATTCAAGCTCATCCGTTCTTCAAGAACATTGACTGGGAACAGGCTGAGGGCAAACAGGTGACGCCACCATTCCGACCCAATGTCAAAGACCCGTACGACTACGAGAACTTTGACCCGCAGTTCACCAATGAACCAGTGCAGCTAACACCTGATGATTTGTAAGCCCCTGTTTATATATACCTTTTTTACTTGTGGTCTCTCTCTTTTTTTTCTTGCGCTTTTGCTCTTCCCCCTTTCTCTCTCTCTCTCTCTCTTTCTCTCTCTCTCTCTTCTCTCTCTCTCTCTCTCTCTCTCTCTCTCTCTCTCTCTCTCTCTCCCTCTCACTCTCTTATTTTTTGAAGCCAACGTCACAAGAAATCGTGGAAATTGATCTAGTAAGTGTAAATATTCTCTGTTGCAGGCGTACACTGGAGAAGATCGACCAGTCAGAGTTTGAAGGATTTGAATATGTCAACCCACTTCTCATGTCCATAGAAGATGCCGTATGATAACCAACGCATACTCCCTACTCACTTTACCAGGCTGCTAGCCTGACAACCCCCTACCCTAGTGTAGGGTATGGTCAGAAGCGGGGCTGGTAACCCTCTACATCGGCATAGGTTGTGGTCGGGTGTTGGGCTGGTACCTCTGCTCTACCGTAAGCCGGGGTTCATTGCTGGGTCGAGTCTGACCGGGGCAGGTTGGTTAATTAATCAGTAGCCCAATTTTATGCAGTGGTCGGGTTGTGGATTGGCCCTATTCCCTACCCTAGCGTGGAGCATGGCAGGGGACCAGGCTGGGGTTTAACCTGCAATGTGAGGCAGCTTCGGTGAGAACGGAGAACAATTGGATGAAGTTCCAGCAGCTTGAACATGTGCAACATTCCCGTGTATATCATCGCTCAATAGTTAGACGTACGGCTTACGTAGTAATGTGTGCCGACCGTTGTTCACTCCCACGCTGCGTGATGTGCTGCCCCTCTCACACGCGCTCATGCACGCAGTCTGAGCAGATACGTGGTGAGCAGAGAGGTATTGGAGGTCACTGATCTCTATATATTAGCTGCATGGCACATTGTTGGTATTACGTGATGTCGCCTGGTCGCCATATTGGTCGGCTGAAACGTCGTGTTATCAGCAGGGAGTAACTATAAGGGGGTTGGACGTTGGTTGAATGCACGTCCGTTAGATTAACACGTTGCATGTTCTCGCAGCAAAATGCATAGATATACCTACTGTGAGCTCGTCCATGTTGTAAAAATTCACTACAACTTATTTGAATTGCTACTTTCACTACAATTCTTCATAAAATATAAACGAAAGTTACGAAAGTAGTACCACAGGATGTTTACAGTATTTACACATCCGGTACACAACCGAGCGAACGTTGTGCTGCATTAACAGTTCTTTTCTGTGATAATACCTGTTATACGTTATTGTTCGATTTTTACTCAGTACGAAGTTGTGGAATTTGTTTAAATCATATGTTATCTACATTACTTATGCAACCAGGAGACAAATATATAGTTTTCGTTCCAGGAACTATTTGTGCTAGCGTAGGCCTACTGTTGGCTTTTCACTCCAAAACAACTTATGTGTATCTATACGCCGAAACCACGTCCGACGCTGTTTCGAAAATTCCAATGTTTGGAGCACATTTCTGGCTCAATAAGAACATTTCGTGATGTTTGCATACTGCAAGTATGCTCACAGTAGGTGTATGTAGGCTTTTTGTATGCGAGGTTTATCCATTTTAAACCGATTCTTGGTCGACAAATATGTTGGCCAATTAAGTGACCTCATCTGGTAGCACAATTGTGATAGGACAACGTGCTATGCAGTTATTATATATATATCGGCGGTTGCCGTTCTGTCTTCCGCCATGACATAACAAGTGAACATCGGTCGGATAGCCGTTTTCTGCTCAGTGTTATGCAGTGGCTCGTGGGTCGATGTCTGTGTGAGTTGTTCCGTTGAACGGTGCCTTGAGACCGTTTTGCAACTATTTTTTCTATGGTGCCACTAATAATAATTGTGTTTTTATATATCTCAAGAGGTTGTTTTGTCGACGGACAGAGAAAGCGCGCGCGTTCGCTTCTGTTATATATTTTGCCAGTCACGTCAAGTCGGCTGTTCGGTTGTGATCTATAGCCGGCTGAGTTTCCCAACCTAATGCCAATCACCGTGTAGATAGCGCCGTCATTCTATGTTGGCAGAAGTGGGCGTAGTCGTGTAACCATGTGCGGAAACCAGAATGTAGAGTCAAAATGCTGTGTAAACACTGAAGAAAATCATGTAGAACGTGGTAACATATCGCGGGGGTGCATGCATGAGCGCGCGTTAACGGTGGCAGCTGTCTATCTATAGTTTAACGCGTTTGCGGTATGTAAAGTCTCGATGCGTGAGTCAGGTAGGACTCGTGCAGGAAGAACATCAACATTTATGCTCTCGCGTCTCGGTCGCCGTCACGGGATGGAGTCAGAGCCGTATATAGAGACTCTAGTATAGAGTCTCAATATATGGCTCTGGATGGAGTGAGACAACGGCGGCATCTGGTGGTGAGTCGGGTAGATGTAATATATGACCACTGCTTAGCTGAAATACTGTGTGTCTACATATATATATACATATATATATATACACACATATATATATATATATATATATATATATATATATATTATATTTATTGCATCCCGTACGGTGACTGGGACCGATGAGCTGTCTTGAGTGAAGAGCTTAGGCTGGCCCGTATTTCTGTGTACATAATCTGTAATTTACACGACCGCCGCGTCATCGTCTGATTGCACAGATTTTCTACCGTTTCTCGGTTAAGCAGAACTGGCGATTGAATATCTATCTACTAGCGAGTTATTATTAATCTATTACACATGTATAATTTAATAACGATACGTTGATGAGTGAGTGAGCGAGTGAGTGAGCGAGAGAGAGAGAGAGAGAGAGAGAGAGAGAGAGAGAGAGAGAGAGAGGAGACAAGAAAAGAAGATGAGAGAAAAGAGAGAGAGAGAGAGAGAGAGAGAGAGAGAGCGAGAGAGCGAGAATAGTGTTAGGGGATGCAAGTAGGTGACCTATCATTGAGTGACAATGCTTTGCAGTTAGTGAGAGATCACGAGGTGTTAGTGAGTGAGTGAGGGGAGAGTGAGTGAGAGTGAGAGTGAGAGTGAATAACAGTGAGTGAGTGAGTGGGTGGGTGGGTGTATGTGAGAGTAGGTGAGTGAGGTGAGAGTGAGAGTGAGAGTGAATAAGAGTGAGTGGGTGGGTGGGTGTATGTGAGAGTAGGTGAGTGAGTGAGTAAGTGAGTAAGATCATGTATGACCAAAACTGTAGTGATTTTTATATATCTAGCGTATTTGTAACCAACCATTCCTCAAATCTCTTGCTACAATCGAACACGGCAGCTGTGTCTTGTTATGATTTTGTTGTCGAATATTTATAGTTTAGTTATACACGCCGTATACACACGAATATCTATCGATCTAAATAGATAGCGATCGATTTGGATTACCGAAACTCGTGTCTTTTGACTCTTTTCATGTGATAAGACACGACTGATGCCCTTACATGGTCGTGTAAACGAATTGTTTAGTGTTGAAATAAGTTCATCGGATTTCATGATGATAATATTAAGAGTAATTTTATTCTGAGATAAGTGTAAATATACTGACCCGTTGACGACAGTTCGAAACTATAGTCTACATGTCAACGTATTTGGATCCATCTTAAAATTAGAATTGCTCTTAGTAGTGTGCTTGTATGTCATGCGAAAGCACTGAGCACTTACGCTAATGATTTACTTCGCGTGTGTACCGGCTTTGTTCTGGGTAGGAGAGATTTATGATGAAGGGACATACAATTACTCGTCTATAAAACGCCTTCACCTCGTTTCAGATGTAGACTGTGAAACGATTGTAATTTCAGCACAAGATGATAGCGTTATTAATCTCTATAAGGGAAAGCACCCGCGTATTGTCAACGAACCTTCCCTTCCATTACATTTCTTTTCCACTTTCTTTCCTTTCCATTCCCTGCACACTTCTCCCGGCGACGTCATTCCCTCCCCTCCCGCCGGCTCTACATGTTCCCCTTGTCCACGCGATCCTCTTTCGTTGTGAAATCAGAAACATTGTTTATAACTACTCTTTAGTGATGTAGCATACCTCATTATTTTAGGACTGACGTCATTCCGAGTATATAGAATATGTTTGCGTAACAACGCCCTGGTTCTTTCTAACCCTTGATTCTCCTTGGGGACCATTGCTCACGTAATGAATATTTTCACCTGCAAAGTGTAAAGATGGGTTGCCGAATTGATTTATATTTCATTATCATTCCAAAATGATCGTGTTTGTTTGGCGACGCGGGTCATTGGCAGTTAGAAGGCTCGCCGTTCGACTGACGGAGTTTAGAAGGATGTCATACTCATTGATAATAATCGCATCCGTATATATGCTACTAAGAACATTCCCTGGGTCTGCTGTTACGTGTCCATGAGAATGAACAATATAACATGCAAGTTTATAAGCATACCACGCACTGCATGTTTACTGTTTCTTATGTATTGATTTACAAGAATAAGCAGTACATATACATAATTGATCGCATATATATGCATATATATATATATAGCTGCGTTCACACGAGGAGAAAAGTTGCGTTCACACGCTAAAATATACGCGGCTTGCTTAGCCACGGCTTGCTTAGCCGCGAATGCTCCGGCTTGCTAAGCGCGGAATCATATTCCGCGCCAACTAAGCCGCGTATATTCGGCACCACGCTGGCCGCGTATTGATTGTCGTGTGAACCTAGACTGCTACCCGTTCGCTGCACGACGTTAGGGTAGCGTGTGGAACTGTCGACCGGGTACCAGTCTATATTATACCGCGCTAGCTAAGCCTCGAATCTCGTGTATCTCGTGTGAACGCATTTTAACCGGACTTAGCACCAACTAAGTACGGTACCAGCTAAGCCGTGTATACGTGTGAACGCAGCTTATATATATATATATATATATATATCATGTCTTACGAATAAATTTAATTATTCTTGAAGCAATAGAAACTGCGTCCGTGTATAACCGTATGTGTAAAGGTGTGACTGCCCGAAACATACATATCATAATACATATATATACATACATGAATATATATAAATGTGTTTGTGTGTGTGCGTGCATGCGTGCGTGCGTGCGTGCGTGCGTGCGTGCGTGCGTGCGTGTGTGTGTATGTATATATGTGTATATTTTTACCTATGGCCCGAAACTCCTTTCATAATACCAGCAATTGATAACTTTAATGTGGTGATGATGATGATAATGATGTTATGATATATTATTATAATGATGATTTGACGGAGACAACGAAGCTAATGTTAGCGGTGATACTGACGACGACGGTGCTAATCGTTGTGGCTATACGGCGATGAGGTCACACACACACACACACACACACACACACACGGGCGGTTTACGTTCTGGACAGCTAACCATGGGTAGTTCGCCGTTGCGGACAAGAGCCGAGGGGAAAATATAACTCTCTCCCCCCCCCCACCCCCGCTAACTATACGGTCATTCATTTTACGCGCGCGCGTGCGTTTGTTTGCGTGTACGCGTGTTTTGTGTGTGTGTGTGTGTGTGTGTACGGTGGCGCAGAAGGCTGTAAAATGAATGACCGTATAGTTAGCGGGGGGGGGGGGTAGAGAGAGTTATATTTTCCTCTCGGCTCTTGTCCGCAACGGCGAACTACCCATGGTTAGCTGTCCAGAACGTAAACCGCCCGTGACTTTGTCCCCTAAAGAAAAATTGAGTTAGTTACGACCCTGATGTGAATATAACTTGTTTAGCACCATACATTATTCATGGTGCGTACAACTAGCGCCAACCAACGGATATGAAAATTGTACATAATTATTTTCATTCGGCGTTACGGCGTATCGGGATGTTGGGCTTGGGCTCTTAATAACTAATTGGGGCAATAATTTTTAGCATTTTGTATAGAAACCTATTCCTGGGTATGTCCTTTTATAATACATAATTTTAACAAATGTGATTTCCCTTAGCAGATAGTAGGCCTAGTCATGCGCTGAGACAGGTCTGACCATATAATCTCTCACGTGTTTTTTAGAAGATTTGGAAGATTTGCTGCCTTATTATTGCCGTAGTGAGTCCTTGAAATCCACATTTCCCACATCTAACTACTACTCTTGGGGTTTCATTATAGGTGTGTAATTTCAACCAATTTACATATGAATATATTTAGTTTAGCATCATACTTCTCATGCGCGTCACTAGCATGCACACACTAATGAAAAATGAAATATGTATAGAATCCAGATGTAATCGGCAATCGGAGTAATCGGGCTCCTTCTTATATTGTATAAGTGCATTAATCCATTTCGTATTTTTTGATAGAAATTTGTTCCTGACTATGTCTTTTCCAATTAGGCTATGCCTAATTCCAACAAAATCTATTTTTTCTTAGCAGATAATAGGCATGCACACAGACACGTCTGACCCTATAATCTATCGCGCGTAATAAGATTTGGGCAATTTTACGCCTTATAATTAACGAGTTGAGTCATTGGTGATAACATTTATCTCATAATACCACTCCTGGGTATGTGTTTACTACGTGTGCCTAATTGCACCGAAATTATACATAAATATTAGATAGGAAAATTGTTTCGGCAGCGGTAAAGACACTGCCAACCACAGGCACTTAATTGGAACGTCTCAATAAAATAAAAAGGTAAATAAACACGGAATGTATTTACTATCAAAGTATTCATGTTTCTCTACTGAATTTCTCCTATAATCCCCTGTAAATGCCGTTCAAATGCTCATCTGCAACACACAAGTACACCGCACGCTAGCTGCTGCACACGGACATATAAATATATATTTACCTCTGCCAAAGGGGTTGGCAGGAGGTTATGTTTTCACCGGCGTGTGTTTGTTCGGCGTGTGTTTGTTGGTTTGTGGGTTTGTTTGTGTACAGCCTAACTGAAAAAGTTATGGACGGATTGTCATAAAATTTTCAGGATAGGTCAGAAATGGGCTAGCTTAGAATTGATAAAATTTTGGTGGTGATCCGGATCCAATTAATTAATTAATTAATTTTCAGGTAATTAATTAATTAATTTTCAGGATAGGTCAGAAATGGGGTAACTTAGAATTGCTTACATTTTGGTGGTGATCCGGATCCAATTAATTATTTAATTAATTAATTAATAAAAATTTTCACAGCAGGGCCGTAGCGGCCTCTCAGAAAGTGCCACTGCATAAATATGTAGCTGATGCGGTGGGGGGGGGGGGCTGGCGCATTTTTAGGCTATGTTGAAAGCAACTAATTCTGATCATTTTAAAAGGTCAATTTGTAAATTTCAGAGGAATGTAGCTAAAGCTGATGTTTTAACTAAAGTATCTAAAATATATATTATGAGTATGATAACTAATAAAACATTATTTACAAAATTGTATATACTATCAGTACATAATTATGAAAAATAAGCCTATTTTCAATCTGCATTTATACTTTCACGATGTACATCTGTATGTTTTGAAGTTTGAATTTGAATAGACACATTGTCGTATTAAATACACATTCCAAATCTTAGAGCACTGATATAACACCACTAATTGATCAGTATTAATAGTGATACCAGACAGTCCAGTCAGATAACTTGTCATTTTATTTTTTTATTATTCCAATTTTATCTTTTCTGCCTGGATGGCAACTTACAAATTCTGAAATTACATCCTGCATGTTCATCTACCTTGTCTAACATGTCTCGGTGCACATGCATGACCATTGCATTTATGAGCCTTATAACTGGGTCGTGCTGGGTCGGGGGGGGGCACTCCATATATATTGCATGGTAGGTATGTGCCGCGGGAGAGACCCCCATTTTCAGCCCTAACCCTAAACTTCCGTTCCAGTGCATCGCATTTTTAAGAATATCTCGTTCCAGAGCATTAAGTTTAGTTACCATGCAGATCTTACAATTTTGTCGTTCCGGAGACCCTAGTTTTTAATATTTCCGTTCCAGTGCATCGTACTTCAAAATACGTTGAAGCCGGGCCGTCAAGGCATGCATGACACGTGTACGTGCACACGCACGCACGCACGTGTACGTACACACGCACGTGTATGTGCACACGCACGCACGCACGCCCGTGTACGTACACGCACGCACGCACGTACACACGCACGCACGCACGTGTACGTGCACAGTGCACACGCACGCACGCACGTGTACGTGCACACACACGCACGCACGTGTACGTACACACGCACGTGTACGTGCACACGCACGCACGCACGCCCGTGTACGTACACACGCACGCACGCACGTGTACGTGCACACGCACGCACGCACGTGTACGTACACACGCACGTGTACGTGCACACGCACGCACGCACGCCCGTGTACGTACACACGCACGCACGCACGTGTACGTGACACGCACGCACACACGCACGCACGCACGCACGTGTACGTGCACACACGCACGTGTACGTGCACACACGCACGTGTACGTGCACACACG